TTTATCTATTCATGAGCAGACATCCTTTCATAGAGTTGGTGAGCACTAGATTCAACTAATCGGCTCCATGTTGTACTATACACTAAAGAGGGTATGGGTTTGTCCTTTGTGTGTGGAAGGACAAGACAAAAACAGTCGTGCATGGCAAGATTCTCATGATGGTTGAATATTGGAATGTCGCTGGAGGTCTCTTCAGCATTCGCTGAGACTTGTGCAGTCTTCACACATATGTTGACCAAGTTGTAATCACTGATTGCCGCTTCAGATCACGAATACGCAGGTCACTAATCTTCAGTTTCAGTCTTCGACATTTGCTGAAGGTTCTTTGGTGTGAGTTTTGTCTTCTTGAAGTATAACTATTGTTATAGAGTTACCATGTTCAGCGATCACTGAACAGACTCGGTGATGATCGATAAAACCGAATGGACATAAACATAATACTTCGATAGGTAAAAGAGATTATCATTAAATCAATGAGAGAGGATCAACACATCTTTAGATATAACTTTTTATTTTTTGATCCTATCAATTAAGTGTTATAAAGCAGTCTATTAGAATGTTAGAAATTGTTGGTGTCCTATACAACACCCTAGTGTTATTTGTTCGAGTCGAACTAGAGCCAAACATTGAAAAAATATTCGAGCTAGAGCCCTACATTGAAATAGTTATTTGATATCGAGCTCAAGCTTGAGTCTAGTATTACTTTTATGAGATGAGCTCAAATAATCTGCTTACTCGACTCGTTTCAGTCCCCTATTTAGAAAGCCTTTGGCACATACAAAACCCATATTTAGATGAAAGTTTTATAAAGTCTTTGTTAATTGGGCTCGTTAGTGGGCTTGGGCTTTATTGTTGTATTCGGCTTATAAATAGGTGTCTTGGGTTTCATTTGTAACTTGAATAGGCAGATTCATTTAAACATACATACACATAGAGAAAGCTTACTGTTAAAACTTTGAATGTACAAATCTCCTATTCTCTCCATCGTAATGAAGCCTATGAGTATTGAACCTCCAACTAACTGTTCTTCATGCTATTCTCTACTCAATTTTTCTATGGAGTTTGTTGCTAGTTGCCTAAATTTGGATTATCAATTGGTATCAGAGCCTATTGAAGCAAATCTATTTCATATTTGATCATTTGTGGCAACTATTCAAGATTTGAAGATTGACTTGATGATTTGGATGCTCAAAATCGTTCAACCACATGAGATTAACTTTAAGGTACCATAATTATGTGTTAAATTTCAATCGGAGGATGATTTGAGTTGGAATGAGATTCAATTTTGATTTTGATGAGATTTGGATGCGAAATGAGATTAGAAGCTTATGATTATATACTAAATCTGGTTTTACACACCATATACTAGATGAAATGCTTAGGAGAATTTTGATTCTACTCTACATGTTTTGAGTCCCATATATGGAAAAGCAATTTACATCTTTGAGTACGGATGAATAAATTCTGATATGGCCAATTAGAATTTTGAAGATTTGCAATCATTGTTCTAATTATATTGGAGGGTCTTGATCTACATCAAATCAACATTTATTGTTTGAGCATTTGGTAATATGATTTGAAGAAGCTGTCAAAATAGAATCTATATGTGAATCAATAAAATTATAGAATTTGTTGAATTGGATGTGAACATTGAAGAGACAAAGCTACAGATCAAAACAGTAGCTCGAGATGTACAAGTGCAGCTAGTTCCACACATTGTTCAATTTTGTGATGACAAAATGAAAATCAACATGCCGACAGATTTGTGATGTTGTGCTATATTGATCATGTCTCACTCATCAGAGCATCAATTGAGTTGATTCAAATGGCCCTGGATATATAACAGATGGATTTGCAGGTTTCATGTTTAAGTTTATAGAAATTCACACTATAGAAGGGCCAAATATATCATTGAAGTAGAAAGTAGAGTGTTGTTGCACAAGTGATATGCATTGAATCTAATACTTCAATAATAATCAAGGTAGAAAGTTATAAGGGACCAGAGATATGTTTGTGTGAATTCAAATATCTTATTAGTAAGATCAGGAATCTGATCCTGAAGGAAATGAGAAGATAAAGTCTAAGTCTGATCATGTACAATCAAAATTCTGTACTAATACATTCAGAGTTGGACTTGGTTTATTCAGAGTGTGGACTTAGTTCATTCAGAGAATTAATTAATTCAGATTTCAAACTTAGTACAATCAAAGCTATGGATCTTTGATCATATCTTATTCTTCCATGCACAAAAATAGGTGAATCCAAGCTCGTTATAAAATCTAAGACACCGATTTATAATGTTCATGTTTCGGGTTTTTTCAAAATCTAGTTACAACTATCAAAATCAGTGTTGAACTCAATTGATGGAAGTTGGATAGAAAGTTGAGAATTTTTCAAGTTTTATGAGCATAATGTTTTTTTTGGGGGGGGGGGGTTGATATGCATTGAAGTACATAAAGTGGTCTTCTTAAAAGTTTAAAAAGAAATTAGGGGGAGGATTCATGGTGTGTTTTCTTTATAAAACTTTAGGAGGAGAATGTTGGATCTAAATACCCCCTAGTTAGATGAAAGTTCCATAAAGTCTTTGTCAATTGGGCTTGGGATTTATACTTGTATTGGGTCTATAAATAGGTGCCTTGGGTTTCATTTGTAACTTGAATGGTAGATTCATTTACACAGACACATATAGAGAGCTTACGGTTAAAACTTTGAACATACAAAACTCCTATTCCCTCCATTGTAATCAAGCCTATAAGTACTGAATCTTCAACTAAGTGTTCTTCATGCTATTATCTACTCAATTTCTATAGATTTTGTTGCTATTTTCCTAGATCTGGGAGGATCATAGATATATTGGGATCCTTCATTTGTAACCTTTGAGTTATATATCGAATCATCTTTGAGAGATTTTCTACGAGTAATATTTGTTGGGGAATTCTTGAGTAATATCGAGAAAATGTATAACTTGGATAAAATTTGAGATCGTGTGAGAGCATACTTTTCTTAAGTGATATTTCGACCCTAATCTACCTAGGTATCACAAAATTCACTCCAGGATAATCTCAAAAAATTTATCACGATTTTGAAAAAAAAAACGTTCCATTTTGAACTTAAAGAATCGTAGTTGCTCATATATTAACGTCGAAAATAACTCTCCTTTAAATGGAAATGATTGTTGGAAATCAGTAATGGGGTGACAAAATATATCAGTTACAAAATTGATGAAAACCATCAACTGATAACTTATCAATAGAAAAATCATGAGTTAAATTGTTTGATGACCTCGTCAATGGTAAAACCCAACACTGATAACAAATCAGAAGCAAAACCATCAACTGTGGACCCTCGTCAATTGAAAACCATCAATTGAAGTGTAACACTCAAAGAAAAAGGAAAAAAGCAAGGGAATAAAAATTAAATATATTTAATTTTGTTGGGCTAAAAGTGAAATGAGGTGGAAAGTCAAGGGGGATATAATGTAAACTTCAAGGACTTATTTTGGCAAAATCCTATAAGTTTCCTTTTCGGATTTGGGTGCCAACAACTCCAAACTCGAATATAACTCAAGTCTGGTCTTTTCTTGAACCAAAGCTCATATGAGGTAATCTTATTCTTTTTATTGGGGACTCGATACAATAAGTAACAAATCTTAACATGGCTTCAACCCAGATACAATAAGTAACAAATCATTAACATGGCTTCAACCCAGAATCCGTCACCAATCAGGAGTAGGATAACATAGAGTTCACATTTCTTTGAGAACTCTATTTTCCGTTCCCCCAGTTTCCGCACTGTAGCTCGTTGTTGATTTCTAGCTAGTTCAACTCTTAGACCCACCTCTAGTTCCCACCTCACTCCAACTGCTATGTTGGCTTGAATAGAATCTTATCTGTACCCCTATTGTTTTTTATTCATCCTTCACTGGTATTTATTGATTTTTGCTCTTTCCATAAGCTAAGTCTCTAGAATATTTCAATGCCTCAAACACTAACAAGAAGCATTACAATAGTTATTTATGATAATAATAGCATGTAATTTGCACGTGGCATGAATAGTGGAACAATCAACATGTAAAGTGTTTTGTTAAGCAGGAAGCTATAACAAATATAATTCTTATTTTCTTGATTAAAATCAAAATTTGATCATTTAAAATATGTACTTTCGTTGAGGCACGTTGTCTTGAAGCCATGTATTTCTCGACCGCCCAAGGACATATCTAGAGCAAATGTTACCACATGGTCTGAATAATCGGATGATCTTCCAGGAGAGGCTCCAAATCATAAAACTTGATGCCTATGTATTGACAAAAGATTTATTTGGAGCAAAATCCAAATACTACTAGCTTTATGTTGTAAAACTTACAAGCTAAGAAATGTGTGGAACATGATTATCGAGTCAACATATTGGATCAAGTCCAAAATCTTCTCTGAAAAACAATTACATTTACCATACTTTCCCGTAAATTTGCTTGGCACATCCTTAAAAAATGATGACATATCAATAAACAATTGTTTTTACATATAATTTATTTGTTAATTTTAAAAACACAATGTTGTATATCCCACTTGCTAGTAGCTTTTATATGCATTTTTTTTTATTACAAGTCGGGTGACACTAAATGGACCTCCTATCAATTTTATATTTGGACATTTACTAAATGATTACCGGATAAACACTTATGCACTTACTTTATCGATTTAACATGTCAATGACTGAAAAAGTATAACAAAAATCAAGAGTTTTACCCGAAAAATAATGTCTCATGCCGAAAAATGACCCCTAATTCATAACAGCATATAATCTCATTTTTTTTTATACATTTCTAATACTATGATTTAATGAAAAGGAGTTCAAATACTAGCAATGGGGTAAGTTCAACAAGGGGGGGAGTTATAACAAGAAGTCGAAATATCAAGGGAGGTAACTGACCTTTTGACAATGGCATAACACGACAATCGAGTGGTACCTCCGGGTCTCAAAAGGGGACTGAGGGACACCAACCACACCATGGTTGTTACCAAAAAGAAACCCATGAAGAATACCAACAGTAATTTGAAAGATCAAGATCCGAAGCAAGGTACCACCGCCATTGATAACCATCTCACAACACTTGATTCAAGATTTAATCAAACTCTCCTCAATGTACAAGGGTATGCTTTTTTTTATCTATGTGCTCCACTACCCCAGATTCGGAATCTGTAAAAATTATGGTCATTTCTCGACTTATTTAGCTCAATCTATTAGAAAATTAAGTGGGCGTTGTTAAAGTTTTAGGGTTGAAATGATCGACTATAGTTCTGTGATCACTGAGAGAAATTGATAATTTATGATCTGCTGCCTCAGATTATGGTGAAGATGTTTTAGACAGGATTATTGAAGTTATAAAATGTTGCAGTTAGTTACTTCCTGGTTTATGTTTATATATTCGATATGAATTTATATGTTCGTGCTCCAGAAAAGAAAAAACAAAGAATCATTCTTTTGTTGCTATTGATGCCAATCCAATTATGTTCAAGGATTTGTTGCTATCCAATTTGTTGCATGATGTTCATATGATATTTGTATTTAGGAGTTATTTTGACACAATAGGAATCTTGGTTTTGGAGCTAGTAGGACATAAGCAACAATCTTAGGGCCTTTTTGTTAGCAGCTTAATGAGTTCAATAGGACTTGCAACTTATTTGTTCAGCTATACATGACTATTTGGTAGTGGCTTAATGATATAGAAAGAGAATTATTTGGTAAGCTTCTAGGAGGAGCTTTATGTAGAAAGCATGATTTTTTCAAACCTACCCGACCAGTGTTTTCTATCTATGAAAAACCCTTCCATAGAAAAAACTACTGGACTTCAGAATCAAGCTTGGGTTTAATGAACTCAAAGTCATAGACAACTATCATAAGTGCTCAGATGAACATTTTGCTCCTAGGGTTGCTTTCCAATAGTACGATATCCTGATGTTGAAGGATACATCATAATGGTTTTCGCTCACACTTTTGCACAAGCTGGCTGTCTTCATGGAGATAGCCGCTCTACCCTTTGGGTAGAAGCTAGGTCCGCGTACATCCCACCGCAAGACCCTACTTTCAAGTGAAGTATATTGGGTTGGGTTGGTTTTTTATGTAGTGGACTAAATTGACATGTAGCATCTCTTAGGATTTGCAGAGTTTTCTGGATTCCTGTGTTTCATTACAGACAATGCTATGCAATATGGTTTGAATGGTTAATAAGAGCCTTTGCACTTGAGAGCAGATTATGAGGATCTAAATCTGTTGGTCCAAGGATGGATTGTTTCTGGTAACATTTAAGAGAAATGTAACAATGATAATTCAAACAGCGACAGCAAGAAAGAAGAGCGGTAAACTACATATGTAATATACCAAATCACTTACTGTTTATGGTGTTATGATTTGTATGGACGTGTGCTATCTTTTATTGAGTTTTGTTGTTTAGCATGCTGCTACATGGTTGTGGTACGATGTCTCATTGTGACAAAGTCATGTGTACCCTGATGAGAAAAGGAGGCTGAAAACTTTTTTGGGTGTTGATTCACCTGGTTAAACTTGTAAATAATTGGGATTACCCACTTCTATGTTAGCAATATCTCATATGTTAAAGGGAGTGCCACCAGATTGGCTATATCATGTTGATAAAGGTCCAAAGGATCTTGGCTATCAAAAACAATGTGTGCAAACAAGAAGGAATGAATAATATGTGCACTCATAGACGATTGAATACGGTGCATAAGAGTAGCGGATTTTGGGTAGCGTCAGTTAATAGGGTAGCGTCTAGGATAGATAGTCCAAAGCCTCTTTTACTATGGATAAGAGTGTTCCTTTGTATGTGTGTTTCTTGTCCTCGTCCTTTTGTATCTTTTATTGTTACACAATTTTCTAGAGTTCCTTTGCTTTCTGTTTGTTTGAGTAACTGTTTTTGGCTGCATCGTAAACCTTTAAAAAAGAATTCTTATAAGCTAGGGGTCTTCATGGAAACAACCCCTCTATAGGTTTTGTCGGCTTGTATCATACCCCCCCCCCCCCCCCCGGGGACGGGTGGATAACTGGGGTACGTTTGATTTCTTTTTTTTAATAGATGATTGAAACACAGTGGAAACACTGGTTATATTAGAGGAAAGAAAAGCAATATGTGGTTTGCTGATACCATTTCCCCTTATATAGAAGGTTATTCACATGCTAATCAGGTTTCTATTTATGGTTATAGTTTTACTCAAATGGATGAGATTTCCTGTTTTGGTATGTTGAAATATGATGTATCATTTTTTGTATGCATCTAGGATGTTAAAGGGTCGCAGCTTCCCTGGTAAAGTGCTGATAACAAGATCAGATCCAATGGATGCTACAATTTTACACTCTCCTGGTATTGATCGTAGTCCCTCTACTGGCTCAAATAAATACGAGGATGGTACAAATGAGGTAGCTTTGATGACTGCAACCTAAGTCATGGGTATACATATACGCTGATTGGCAACTATAGCTCTTACCCTTTACTATTCATATATAATCTTTTTGTGTAGGATCAAGTTCACAGAAGTAAACCAGATGCTAGTACCACTGCAAATCAGTTAAATTCTTCAATGATAAATCCTGTGAATACATCTTTGGAGGCTCCGAGGTTTGTGATGAGCACCAGAGCTACGGACACTGCTAAGCTGATGAAGTTCACGAAAGTGTTGGGGGGAGTAACTGTCATTTTAGGTATTTTGCACACTGCAGAAATTTTTTCCTTCAATTTGTTATTAAGCTACTTATTTGATTTTGGGCTGTTTGGTTGGTTTCCATGAATCCCTGTTACGGATAAAATTGTCTGTGTGGATGAATCTATCTGTATAGATTGGAGAGGTTTTTGTTTGGGAGGGTTTTTTCATAGATGAAGGAGCGTGTTTTTTAAATAGGGAGGAGCAGGTTTGGAAAAAACTTGGCTTTCTGCATAAAGCTCCCCCAATAAGTTTACTGAATAAGCCACTTTGTATATAATTAAGCCACTACCAAATAGTCATGTATAACCGCCCGAATAAGCTACGAGTCCCATTGAGCTCATGAAGCTGCTAACAAACAATGAGGAGAAAAATGCAAGTGCATTTATTTGTTATATTTATATACATACAGAGCATATGTACTCGTGCTCCACTTCTCAACTTGCACTTCAAAAATAGAAGCAGCTTAGTGCTGTGGTTGCCTGGACAAATGAGAAGAATATTGTACCGTTGATTGTAGTCCACTATTACTTTATTTTGTCATTAATGGAGCTCATGTACAGCATTCAAATAGAGATGGCCATTTAAAGTTCAATATATTGAGTTCACTTCATTATGTTGGAAGTTTTGGTCTCATCTTTTCATCTATGATTTGAATGTTCTTTTGCCATAAGATTAGGATATCAAACAATGATGGCACTCCTAACCATTGAAATTGAGTAAAATGAGCCATTACAATTTAGGAACTCTTAACCATTTACTTCAAGTAAAATCAAACTTCATTGCATATGTTCAATTATAAATATAAAAGAATTAGCCAAGTATACTTACATGCATGGATAGTGACATCCCCTCATACAGTTACTGTAATGAATTTTCCTTTTTCCTTTTTTTTAATTCTGTATTGATTTATTGCTTTTATTCTATAAATTTTACAACTATGATCTTGCAGACAAGTTGCGTGAGTTAGCTTGGAGTGGTGTGCCACCTTATCTGCGCCCTAATGTTTGGAGGCTTCTTTTGGTAAGCTTGAATTACATGTTTATAACAATTTAGTGCCAAAATTACATATAGTTGGTGAATAGGTAGTAAAGGTTCTTATTGTCAACAGTGGATAAATGTGAAATGCCATCTATATATGCACTTAACGCTATGGAGGAATATGCTTTTACTAGAAGCAAATAATGGGTGGGAAATTTTTGAGTTGATACATGAGTATGCTTATTTTGATGCTCTAGCCAAAGCCTATGATAAAAGAAACTGTATACACCCATAAGATAACATTGGCATAAGAAAGTGAAGCTCATCAAGAATCTTGAATATTGAGGAGATTGGATTTGATGTAGTTGCTGCATGCATTTGCTCTCTCCTACCAAGCTTTGGTTGAAGAAGGAGCTCATAGAAGTATATGGTTATTTAGCTAAATGACCTAATGACAAGTGCTTTTTAAATCCATGTTCTGACAGGTTTTAGGCATTCTTGTGTATGGTAGTGTCATTCTTCTGATATGTAGTGGCATTCTCAAACTTATCAAAAGGCATGGTTCTAAATGGCATGAGGCTTGGTGTGGCGGCGAGGCCATGCCTCAAGCCTTAGGAGCCACGGAGAGGCCATGACGTTTTTCATGGCATGACTTATGACGGCAATCTCTATATCTATATATCATATGATATATATATACATATAAACATATGTTTTCTACTATTACTCAATAATGATATTAAACAATTTAAATTAGGTTATATATTAAAAACTAACAAGTAAGACATTAAAAAGTTAAGAAAAATCAAATATCGCGTTACAAAAACCTCACATTAGGCCATAGCGTGCGAGAAGCTTAACGTTGCGTTAGACACAATCCTTGAGCCTCGGTGAGCCTTTTAGAACACTGTCAGAAGGTCATGGATATAAAAAACCTTGACAGAAGCTCATTTAACCAAACAACCCGAAAAGGATACAAGGTCTATCACTCTAATATGGATTCCTGTTGTTTTTTTCTAACGAAACCAAACAAACCAGTATGTCTCTCTGCGGAGGTAGGTCTTGTATGCAGACCAACCTCCAGCCAAATTTGCTAACCGTGGCATGATATCTAGATTTCTGATGTAGAGTTGCATAGTATTATTGTATTACCTGAATTATTGTTGATGTCAACTATTGCTACTTGTGTGGAATTTAAATACAAACTGACAACAGGGATATGCACCCCCTAATTCAGATCGAAGGGAGGGAGGCCTAAGAAGAAAGCGCATAGAGTATTTTGATTGTGTTGCTCAGTATTACGACATTTCAGATAATGAACGTACTGATGAGGAGATTAATATGCTTAGACAGGTATAGTAGATGTAGATCCATCCTGCTAATTTACATTGCAATTGCTTATATTTAAAACAATATTTTATTTACTTGTTTTTTCCCTTCCCTTGAACAGATTGCTGTTGATTGTCCTAGAACCGTGCCTGATGTTAATTTTTTCCAACAAGTCCAAGTCCAGAAATCCTTGGAGCGAATACTATATACATGGTTAGATTTCCTTTATTGTCAATAACCTTTTTATGAATCATATGCTGTGAGCCGGTTTTTGGTTGGTCTTTGTTGCAAGAGGAAACCAAGCATCATCATTGTCCAACACTGGCCACTTAATTGTGCGCTAGCGGTTGGTGGTCATTTAGAAAATAGCAGTCTGCAAATTGCGGGGCTAAACACCGCTATCTATACTATATTATAAACCATTTGACAAAAACTCTTAAAACTACTTTTTATGCATGAAGTACTGTTTATTGACACACATTACTTGATATTCAATATTACAAGTAAATTGTACGTAAGTACAACTTATTAAAACTCTATGTTTGAAATCTTATAACTAACTGCAGATAAACATAATCAAATAAAGGATAAACATTTCATTTTGAATATAAAAATCTAAAATATAATAAGGATAATTATTGAGTTCTAAAATATCATAAAAAGTATGTTGTTAAATCAAAAATAAATTACTTCGTTATTAACTTTAAATTAAATTATAATAAAAAGAAATTACACAAAAGAACGAGAAGTTTTAAATAGTTAATTTGACACTAATTTCAATATAATTTTTTCCAAAATTTTAAGATATCTTAAAATGTACATTTTATTTAAAAATAAAAACATTATCGTTTTCCCAAAAGTATATAAAACCGTATTATAACATCGATGGAGACAGGTAATAAAACAAAACATTAAAATCAAGTTGTATCTCGTTGTATTACGCGAGTATCCTTCTAGTTTGATATAAAATAGCGATTGATAATAGTGCTATTTTTTCCTGGTCTTTTTTTATTTATTTATTTTTGGGCTGTTTTGTTTGAGACCCCACCCAAGTTACTTTTATTTGGCCCAAAGTTAGTTTGACCCAAACTTTAAGACTTTTACTACGTTACAACTTAAAAGAAGTCGATAAATTCCAATTTTGTATATAAGCAACGCCTAAGATCATTTGTCTCCCGACTCTAGTTACGATTCTACCCCTCAATCGAACTCCCCTCCGCTCTCCAGACTCTACCAGCAACGTTACTATTTTGTTTTCACCCATTGTCCCATACTCCTGTTTATTGTTTTCAGTTTATGAAGGTAATTGAATAGCTCTATTTGTTTGACCCATTCATTGTTTTGCTTTCAATGTTTGGCATCTTCATTAATTTTATTTTTGTAGGCAATAATTACTAAGTAGTTTAGCGTGCAGATTGCAATTAGCTTTTTTGGTTATTTATGAGCTTTATAAACTCTATTACTATGTAGCTTGTGTGGTTTGAATTGTTTAACTTGATATGCATTAGGCATGCAATATATTAAGTTCATAAATATTAATATTTATTTTATGTACTTAATTTTTTACCTCTATACCACTGCTATACCATCGCGATAACCGCAATTATAAATCACGGTCCTGACCGCAATTGTCGCAATCGACCATGTTAACTGCTTAGGTTAACATTACTATTGTTAAACATAGTGGTGCTTTTTTGATAAAGTTGTATCAACTTAATTATGAAAACGAAGAATAATTGTTGTACGGTGTTTGGCCATCAAACACCTAGCGTTTATGATAGCATTGTTCCAAATACATTTGTTGGTTCCAGATTCGCAATTGAAATCATATTAACAAATTGAATAAGAGTAGTGGATGCAAAAATATCAGTCAATTAACTAAATGAACAATATGGAGAAGATTGAAATTGAATTCATATGGCCACAAATTTTACAGAGATAATTGGATTACAATCTGAGAGAGATTACACTACGTATTACACACAGATAAGCTCTATGAAAAGTATTCAAGTTGTTCCAAATTAAAGATTCCTAGATATGTATATATAGGCGCCAAAGGGGTCTCCAGTAAGCTTGAGACACTTGTAAAGGTGAATAATCGCTTTTCGGGGAACCACCTCAAATATCTTTGAAATCTTCTAAGTATTGGATTTGCTTCTGATTAGCAAACTTAAGGGGCCGTTTACCAAACACTTACCCGGTAAGTGCTTACCAAGTCACATTACCTTATCGGATGGATATGGCAAGGACCAAGAATCTTACCCAGTAAGAGCGAAGGCAAGGACCAAGAATCTTACCCAGTAAGAGCGAAGGCAAGGATCGAGAGTTTTACCTGGTAAGTGAGGGCGATGACTCTTACCACGGTTATCGCTTACCAGGTAAATTGTTGCATATGATACCGTTTGGTGGACTAAATCTTACCCAATAAGTAGGTGATAAGTGTTGAATTTTGCTGGTAAGTACTAACCTAGGTAAGCATTTGGTAAGCGGCCCCTTAGAAGGGGTTGGATCTCTGATTGGCTTACTCAGAAGTCAGAAGCAACATGCTCTTTTGAGTTGCTTCTGATTAAGGGGCCGTTTACCAGGTAAGCGCTTACCGTAAAATTCAACACTATCACATACCTTAACGGGTAAGATACCCACTTTTTTATGATTACGAGGTTTATTGGGATATGAAATCCACCCAATATTCGGGAGAGCCCTTACCTGAACCCATACGTGTTTCTCATTTCGGGGAGACCCAGCTAGCTCTGGGTTCGAGTGGCATTTTTTTTATTATCCTGGATATCCAACCCGCTATGCGAGTCGACTAATCCCAGGGCGACCACCTGCTTTGCAGATAGCCCGGAGTCACTGCATTTGAACCTCTGTGGCCACAAGGGCATTTTTATTCCTCCTTGGATTTGAACCTAGGACCTCCTGGTACTTTTGACCTTTGGAGCCAAGCTCAAACCAATCAGGCACCACCCTTGGGTTCGAGTGGCATTCTAGTCCATTAAAATGACATTGTATGCAACAGTACCCAATAAGTTCTAACCGAGTAAGAGTTGTCACCATCATTACTGGGTAAGACTCTCGGTCCTTGTTATTGCTCTTACCAGGTAAGATTCTTAACCTTGACATGTTAATCCAGTAGGGTAAGTGAGCCGGTAAACGCTTACTAAGTAAGCATTTAATAAACGGCCCCCAAGTGATCCAGAAGCCAACACTTAGGCTTTTCTTCTACAAGATGATACACTCTTACAAGACAAAGATTTGGGGTTCCAGGTCTAACAATATTAATGTTGATTAGCAATTTCTTTCTTAGTAGGTTGTTGGTACTTGTGGCAAACTTTTGTCTCTCGAGTTGGTACATGCACTTTGAAGAGATATTTTGGCTGACATTTTGACAAAGCCCTCCATAGAATATATATATATATATATATATATATATATAAACACACACACATATAGGGTTGGGTTCCGATGAGAAGGGAAGTTATGGTGAGAAGCGTAAGAAGAGATCTCCACCCTTGGATCAATCTTAATTGAATGCCAACACTAACATGAGGTGCACCGAGATGCATTGGGTCAATTCCCTTCTAAAGCGCAATTCGTGGGTGGGCATGAGATTAAAAGTGATCAAGGGTTCAAATCTCTTCTTACGCTTCTCACGATAACTTCCCTTCTCACACGATGTTTCGCCTAGTGTGTGTATATATATATATATATATCTTTGTGTCATATATGTTCCAACTTGAGGAATGTTTGGTATATTGGATACATATCTGTTTGTGTTCTAAGGGTGGTTCCATACTTATTTCATTGGCCCCTTTTCAATCATTTATTATAATATAATTTCACCATGATTGATGATATATTTCCAATTTTTCGGATCCCATCTATTCACAACAATTATTCTCTTTTAGAATCTTGGAAAGCAGCTTAATATGTGTCAGTCCATTCTTTGCAATTGGAACTGATTGTTAATGCCAATGATCATGTGGATGACTTGAGTGTCATCATCCGTTCGCCATAGAAGAGAGACCCATTAAATAACTGGAAAGATTACTGAAAGGATCTCATTGCTAAATGGCTACAAATTAAGAGGTTCGGGTTGCCTGTGTATATGGAAAACTAAAGTAACAACGAATAGTTAAGAGGGTAATCCTTGATGGAAAACCAGAGTAGCTTTGTTGACATGGGACCTTTTTTTCAGGTTTCGGAAGGTCTGATTTATATAACCATAATAGAGTCCACCTCTGTACTTGTATTGGTCTTGGTTCTTCTGCTTCTTAGAAATGCTTATTTTCTTTTTATTCATAATTTCAGGGCAATCCGGCATCCGGCAAGTGGATACGTCCAGGGAATAAATGATCTTGCTACACCCTTTTTAGTAGTTTTCTTGTCAGAACATTTAGAAGGGAACGTTGATAGTTGGTCAATTGCTGATTTAGATCCTGATAAGATCTCCAATGTTGAAGCTGATTGTTATTGGTGTCTATCCAAGTTACTTGATGGTATGCAAGACCATTATACGTTTGCTCAACCCGGGATCCAACGGCTAGTATTTAAACTCAAGGAATTGGTGAGACGAATTGATGGTATGCTCTCCTCACCTTCTCTACAAAAGCACCTTAACCCGTTTATCAACAAGACTATGGATAACCAACCCTTTGGGGTATAGCTTAGTTGGACTTGCTAATTTCTCCCCATGGGTCACCGGTTTGTGACCCCTCTGGGCCAATTGTGGTTTTTCTGGCTGCTAACTTCAGGGCCCCTTACACTCATGGTTATAAAAAAGAGAAGATCTCTACTATCTAATAAGTTGTTTTCTTTCAGAACCTATTTCTAGGCATATGGAAGAGCAAGGGCTTGATTTTCTTCAATTTTCTTTTCGATGGTTCAATTGTCTTCTTATACGAGAGGTATGTTGCTGCTTGTTCCATTTTCTTCTTCATGATTTGTAATGGCCGTTTGCTAAATGCTTACCGGGTGTTATTTACCTTACCGGGTGAGCATGACAAGGACCGAGAATCTTACCCAGTAAGCACTAACTGGGTAAGAGACACTTCAATAATCCATTTTGATGGCCGATAATGTCAACTGATAAGGTAAGTGAAAGTGGTGACTCTTGCATGTCAGTGTTTGGTAAATGGCCCCTGAGTATTTGTTATCTTTTAGGGCAAATGTATCAAAATACAACAGAGCCTTTGGGGCCATTTACCAAAAGCTTACCTTGTAAGCCCTTTTCAGGTCATATACCTTAATGGATTAACATGTCAAGGACCAAGAATTTGACCCGGTAAGAGCGATGGCAAGAACCGAGAGTCTTACCCGGTAAGTGAGGGTGACGACTCTTACCCGGTTAGCTCTTACCGGATAGATTGTTGCATATTATGTCGTTTTGATGGATGATAATCTTACCCGGTAAGGTAAGTGAGGTAAGTGATAGTACTGAATGTTACCGCTAAGCGCGTAAGCAATTGGGTAAATGGCCACTTAGTTTCTTTCTTAGTGTAACAAAGAATTCTTTTTTCTTAATTAATGTAACAGAATTTCAATTTTTTTAATTTTGTACCCATTTTGACCGATTGATGATGTGGATGCCAAGTTTAACGTCCCATTCGCCGTAACTCTTTCCATACCAGGTATCTACATCATCAATGTTACAAGCTTAGCAGGTCATCGGTCAAATTGAGTACCAAATAAGAAATATTGAATGTCATATAGATCGAGAAAGAAATTATAACTTCGTTACATTTTCAATGTATTCTGCCATTTATTTATATACATGCAATTCCCCATGTGATTCTATTATTATGTATAGATTCCTTTCCATCTGGTCACCCGTTTATGGGACACATATCTTGCTGAAGGTGATGCATTGCCAGATTTCCTTGTGTATATATTTGCCAGTTTTCTTTTAACGGTAAGATCAACCATTATTTGTGTATTTATTGCTTAACGATCATCTCATAATATGTTAAGGCCTGTTTGTTAATAACTTGATGTGCTTAATGGGACTCAACTTATTCGTTTGGTAGTGGTTTAATGACATAGAAAGTGACTTATTTAATAACCTTCTAGGAGGGAGCTTTATACATAGTGCTTTCCAGACATATGCCCCTCCCAATTAAAAAACAAAAATCCTCTCAACCTATACAGACAAATTAATCTCCGTAGTCAATTCAGAACTTGATGAAAATCCAATCGAATAGCCCAGTAGGCCATTACTGTAGAAACTCGTACATAGGGTTTTTCTATGCAGTCAGGTTTTTCTATTCTTTAATATGTCAAAAGGTCATGCATTTAAATAAAATTTGTGAGAGAAAATAGGGGCTTAGTAGACTGAATTTGGTATTGCAGTGGTCGGAAAAGCTCCAAAAGTTGGATTTCCAGGAGATGGTGATGTTCCTTCAACACCTCCCGACACAGAACTGGGGTGACCAAGAGCTGGAAATGGTCCTTTCGAGGGCGTTTATGTGGCACACCATGTTCGACAGTTGTCCCAATCACTTGGTATAATTGTTATTTTCGTTTTTGCGGAAAATTCTTATGTATAATCCGATGTATTATTTGTAGTTGTCATTCTTGAACATGCTTTGAGTATAGTTGTATGGTAGAAGTTGTGATTGTTTTCTCATTCAAAATCTAAATTGTTGATACATTTGAATGCTTGGATGTGTTGGAACCTTTTTTTAATCTAGTTATCTATTTACATTATATCTTGATGATGGTGTTTGAGAACAGAGATTGGCCAAAATCGGACTGATGGGACCGGTTTTTGGCCATCTCTATTTGAGTAATGTGGGCCTGATTGCTAAAAACCTGATCAAATATCATTTGGATTAGTTACAAGGCATGATTATCGTTTTTTATCTTATAAAATGGTCGTATGATTGTTTTTTTTTTATCTCCAAGACCATTTTTCCCTTTCATTTGAGAATAAATGTTTGAGTTTGGTGGTTTATTCACATTAATTAAAACATCAAACATGTTTAGAAAAAAAAAAAAAAACAAGCTGATTTACTGGTTGATAAATGTAAAATTATTAAAAAAGATATGTTAAAAAGTTACTTAATTTTAAATTAAATAATATTATTAAAACAAACCACTACTACATTTTAGCATATTAAAATAAATAGTAACAAGAATAAAGAGTTATTCAATTATTTAAATTTAATGGACATTCATTGTATTTCATATCATATTTTCATATTGATACGAATTTATCGCATCTCATGTGCACAAGTAAATTAAGTTTTTAGTATACTTGGTTTTTTTTGTTATGTTGTTAATGGTAGGAGAGAGAAGATTTGTAAAATACCCGGGCCATAATGCTCTTTCTTTAAATTTTCAATTCAAAATTACTAATTTTCTAAGTAACTCTTAATTTAATATAATATGTGGTTTATATCTCAAAAGAAGCCCCCTATAGGTATAAATGACAAATCTTATAGAAACTATGAAAACCACTTTGTATGTGTTACTTCACAGATGAAATAATATATGTGAACATCTAATGTTCATACTGTTATAACTGGGTTTTCTGCAAACCTGAGTTGAGGTAATTTTATGTGTTTATTATGTGAATTATGTGATAGTATGCATAATTATGTTAATACTTACATGGATTATGTGTACGTGTGTGATAATTTGATATTATAACATGTGGAAGTATTACATAAATATAGGAGGATATATGATAAAAATATTATTATACATATATAATTCAAATCTCCATGGTTAAGAAAGATTGATTTTAAATCATTATTTTCCACCGCCCAATGATTTTTATATTAGTATAACCATCACCGCCTCATTTTAGAATATAAAAGGAAGAGGATAAGATGAAAACTCTTATCAGTTTTATGCTTTACAAAAGAAAGGTTAAGAAAGAAAGAAATTTAAAGGCGGTGGTAGTGTTCTTGAAAGTGTTCTTGAAGAAAGAATCGGTGTTTAAAGAATTATTGTGTGGTGTTATTTACAGAATCTGTATTCGATTTTTAAGATGAGTTCTTAAATTACTATTTATTTACAAACTGTGAGTTTTACCTATCGTTTGATCTTATAAAAACTGTTGACTATTGATGATCTAAAGATTTAAAAGAGTTTAATAAATCTGTTCTAAACAGTTTTAAAGGAAACATTTTGGGATGTTGGAATTTGAAATGGTTTTGAAAGGATTAAGCAGGAACTGTGTTTTAAAGAGCAGTTTTGGAACAATACCCTTTTTTGAAAGAATTAGATGAGTCGAGAAATCTTACATAGAACAGATTGTTCTTGTGATTTAAAAGGTTTAAGTATAAACCTGTTTTGAGATTATGATTGGTTAAAACTATGAACGAGGTTTACTCTGATAGAAAGGTCTGCAGCCTGTCATTGGATGAAATAGTTCATACGAATTTTAGGGGAAATAAGGATGGTCGTTGTGTGTGTGATGGATAGTTATTGCTATAGAAGGGGATTTATGGATGTAATAAGGATGGTCGTTGTGTGTGTGCATGGTATAACTATTGTTGTTACATCTTTTAAGATTACAACAGATTGGAGTTCTCACTTCTTGGTGATTTGAGGATTCAGATGTGACATCCGTCATTCTTGGAGCTTCAGGTTAGCACCTTTGTAGGGTACCTATATTTAGAGCTATATTTATTTAAGATCTAGTCATGATTAATTTGGAATTCATCTGACTTAGTTCCCAAAAGTATAGTTCAGTAAGACTTGTTTCGATGAGTAGCAGATAAAGTTAACTTATGTAATGCTAAAATATATTAACAAATGCTCCAAAGATAATAAAGTTGATATTTTAAGTCCAAATCAAAATATTAAAGTCTTAGGTAGTTGCCCAAATAATTTGGCCAAAAAGGTGAAGTTTTGATTTTATAATAATAATAATATCTTTAACAAATTGTATTTTGATATAAATCTATTAGGCCATAAATTCTTTAAAAGAAAAATAATTTTAAATGGACTTGGGCCTTTGAGGCCGGCCCATTTCCTTTTTTTAAATCTCACATATAAATATTCCACCTCCTTTGAAAATTCTCATTTTATCCACATTTCAGCAAAAGAAAACCTTCCCTCTCCCTAATATCTCTCTTTCTAAAATCAAACCACTCCAGCCTAGTTCGTCTTCAAGAAATCTTTGGAAAACCTGTCAATCTTGAAGAATATTCAAGATTTCAAAGAAAAAGGTATTAGCCTAGTTATCTTATCTTAATGTAATAACAAAGATTCTAACATATCCACACCTACTTCTCGTTCTAGTAATTAAAACTTTCTAGAGAATCTAAGGTGAGAGATTATATATCAATGACATGAAAATGTCTTCAAAATGATGGTAATCTATGATCTGCAAACTTTAGAACTCAAGAAAAGTTGGTAAAGAGGCTTGCATGTGGGTTTTTGACCATTAAAAACTGAGTTCTGAACCGTCAAGTTATTGATGCAAGTTTACCTTGTAAAAAGAACTTTGCTAACAGAATCTTGCATGCATCTTAAGTAGGTTTATTCTGTAAAAACTCGTTAAAAATAGGTGAATCTTCTTTTAGAAGCTAGCTGAATGTGTTAGCTTTAAAATAAATTTAAAAATCTTTGGAAAATGATGAATTTAGACCCCAAATGGTCGCCACTTGAAGAGTGTGCAATCTGTTTTGGGGGCTGTGTCACTCAAAAAGGGTAGGGTAATGATGATTACCTTAAACCCATATAAAACTCTTGAAATTCGGGAAACGTCTGTTTTACTCCCTTTTTATGGTAGATATAAAATTTGGACATAAAAAGGAGTTGTAGAAGGTTCCTTCTTGGGCAATGATTTGTGAAGACAAA